ATTATCATTTATAATTTCAGCCGCAAAAACCTGACGATATCTTCACAATATGTTACACTAGCGGAACTACAGGTAGCTTATGCGATGTGATAAAACCTTGTTGAAATATTACGTGTTTTGTGCTGTTTGTCACTGACTAAAAAAAGATACGCCGCGGATAAACTTGCTGTAGATACCTTTTTATTTAACCATTTGAATTTGTTTCTTTCTCCAGGGACTCCAAAAGGAGCCATGATAACCAACAAAGGCATCATTGCCTCTTTTTCTGCTGTTTTGTACAGTTATGAAGTGGTATGATTTGGCATTGCTTTCACGTAAANTTTATGATAATAATTTTCTTTCAGGCCGACGATTTTTGCTGCAGTGCCTCGTATTCTTAATCGAGTATATGATAAGGTACATACAGTTTAGTCGATTTAAAAATCTTGTGAAAGGTTCAAGAAATATTTCCTAAAATTAATGTTGGGCAAAAAACTAAGATTCTTTTTTTAATTTCGGTGCTGCTGTTGATGTTGTTGTTGCCGTTGTTGATGTTGACGTAATTGATGCTGCAGTTGATGTTGATATGTTGATTTTGTTGTTGTTTCTTCTGTTATTTTTTGCTAATCTTATGCTAATGCTGTTGCTGTTATCAACATATATTTTCGATTTTCTTTTCAGGTAATGGCCCAGGTCTCGGAGAGTAAATTCAAATCATGGCTATTTGAAAAAGCTCTCAAATCAAAAGAGAATGCCTTAAAAAAGTAGGTCTGCCCCCATAAAATTTATCACCATTTTCATGACATGAATCTTGTTTTTCACTGTGCACTTTCTTAGAAAATATTTGTAATTTGTAATTTTTTTATGTTTTCTAATTAACAAATCGAAATCGCTTTTCTATGATCTGTACGCTTATCGACAATGAAAATGGCGTCAGAAAATGATCAAAAATACGTTCGAGTATTTCATTTAGTTGTTTTGTTTTTGCTGTTTTTTTCTGTTTTGTTTTTTGTTTTTTTTGTTTTTTGATGATTTCTCGACCAAGCCATTGATGATGACTGCTTGAAAAAGTCATAAATCTTGCTTGTTTTTGTTGTCGGAAAAAATGATCTCCATTGAAAATATTGATAATTGAATTCTGAATTCCAGGAATGTCTTTCGTGGTGATACGCTATGGGACAAGGTTGTATTCAAGAAAATTCAGGTGAATAAACAGTATATTCGTCACTACTATCTACGATTATTGATAATTATTTTTTCATATCTGTTTTTAGATGTTATTTGGCGGTAGACTACGTTTGGTCACGTGTGGATCCGCCCCTCTGTCTGC